GGTACTGAAAAACAAGGAAAATATATGATTATTAAAATATTGTATGTCATATTTTTTCAGCTTTCGAAAACTATTGTATACAAATCACGTCTTAGCTTTTAACTCGTCTTAGCTTTAGAGTCGACGTCTTAGCTTTTAAGGGTAACTCAGAAGAATTTAAAAATCTTCGTGTTTATATTAACCATCATTTATATAAGCTTTCAAGAAAATAAAAAAGAATACACAATACAAATAAAGAGACATATTAATAAGGAACATATTTTTGTATACTAAAAAGAAATTATCTTCAAGACTTGCAGCATATTGGAAAAGAAGACAACATATTCGCCAAAAAAGGTAGTTTTCGTTCAGTCTAGGGCCTTTTAGTCAGGTTAAAGCCATTTTTGAAAGAAAAAAAATTGACTTTCATTATTGCAAAAAAATCCGCAATATATGTAAATTAAAATAATTAATTTTTCTGCTGAATGCATTTAAATTCAAGACGTAGACTTACGAAAAATAGATTAATTAATGAATTTTTAATTAATGAATTATAAATAACAATGTTAACCGTAACGTCCTGATAGGGAATGTTTGCTAATAATGATAATAAAAACATTTCTAGATTAATTTCCTGTAGTATTAAATGTATATACGTTTTATTAAAATGTCTCGATTAAGAACGGTGCATTTTCCATTTAAAATAAGAGTTTCTCAATAAATCTCAATGTAGCGAAGAATTAAATTTATTGAACTAAGGGTAAACCTTGCCAAATTGCGGCAAAAAAATAAAATTAAACATTGTACAATAAGCTAAATATTTCTGTTTTGCTTATAAATAGTTAAGTAGAAATTTCTTTTTTCGTATCTATGAATATGGTTTAATTTTGTGCGAATAGAGATTAAATTGATGAATTTTAGATGCAAATGTTTTACTGAAGCGTTCAAATAACAAATTACGCGTAATCGAAATTAAAAATAAGCATAGAATAAAGTAAATCTTAAAATTTAAAATAAAGAGTAAAATAAAAATTGCGTACAGAAATGCATAAAAAACAAGGCAACGCGAAAATATAAGGTGCAAAAATTAAAATATTTAGTGTGAGTAAAATTAAAAAAAAGAGTAAAAGAGAAGTAAAACTTGAAATATTAACTAGAAATTACAGCAGAGAATAAAGAGTAGAAAAATGTAAAATATCGGGAAAAGTTAAAGCGTAAAATATGAAGTAAAGTATTACGTAAAGAGTGAGATATAAAGTGAAGCATAAAGTAAAGAGAGGAAGGTAAAAATCGGAAAGTATAGAAAGTTAAATATAGAAAAAAAGTTAAGCAAAGTGGAATGTACAGCGTAAAGTAATGTGTAAAACATTAAGAAACGTGTAAAGCAAATAAAGCGTAAATTCAAGTGAGGCGTGTTATATACAGTAATGTGTAAAATCAAGCGTTAAATATCATATTAAATATAGAATAATATAAAGCAAGAAATTATATAAAAGTGTATCTTGTAAAGATGAAAATAAGGTTGAATTATAAAGCAATGCTTNATATGGTTGGTCGGCGTCTCACTCGTGATCCGCGTCCTGCAGTTTCCAAAGACGAACTTTGGTTGCGCATACAAGCGATATGGAATTCTCTTCCTCAAGCAGATATTCAACATCTGTTTGACTCCATGCCACGTCGTATAGCAGCACTTATTGCAGCGCGTGGTGGCTGCACCAAATACTGATTTCGGACGCTTAATTTGTTTCTTTTGTTTTGAAAATTTCATCATTTATTTGTATCAGTACAAGTCGTTTCTGCATTAAATTTCATTTGATTCTGATGATTCTTTCATGGTGTTGCATTTTCTACAAACAGCAGTTTATATATAGTTTTGACTAAAACTAATATAAGACCAAGAGTAAACTAAAATTAAAATAACTTGTGAAATATAGGGGCCACTTTTTCAAAATATATTTAATCCATATTATTTACGTAAGGCATTTCTCCAAACATCATATACACCACACGATTTATTACTAAAATTCTCAAAAGAAACCATATTCACTATAAATCTCGGTTTTTCGCATTGCCGCAAGTGGAGAAGATGAAAAAATTAGTTTTATTCGTCATTTTAATCTTATTTACATCACAAAACGAGAGAATTCTTCAAAGACCGGGATATTGTGGTTAGTAGAGAGCTTGGACCATGTTTAAGTGGCCGTGAGTTCGATCCTCGCTGGCCGAAGACTCCCCATTTAGCAAATGGTGACTAGTGCACTTTAACTCGGTCAGGTCACTAAGTCCTACATGTTTCTGTATTAAATCAAACTTCTGGGGGAACTGTTCGCTAGATCGTTCTCCAGTTCAGATCAAAATTATGATTGGTGGATGAATGAATGGGTCTACCTTTTTAATGGGCTGCGACGTGTGTGTGTGTCTGAAGTCACATTATCACCGTCAAACACAAAGTTGAAATCACTGACTTTTTAGCATATGGCTCATTTGTGCCTGGAAAAAGTAGCTTCAGGTGGCAGGCGATTGTTTAACATCCATATATTTAGTCTCGCTGTGGTACTGATAATTAATTCTTATACTTAGAGGGCTAACTTTGGTTGACAGAGGTATGAAAAATAATTGAGTATTGTAATAATATTGTAATACAGTGATGTAATAAAATGAAAAAAATTCGTATAAATAAGTATATAGTGACCTCATATTCATATGGGTCGTAAATGTATTATTATTTCAAAAGGCTGATATTTTATTTATATGTTATTGATTACTTTGCATTTTATAGGACAGGATGTTGTCTTTATGAAGATGTTGTCTTTATGAGTATTGTGTGATTCTTCATAGTTCTGGTAAGAATTATTTTCTGGTGTTTCAATAAATTTTCGGACCGTTCAAATATAGTGAAAGCACACAAAGACGGAAAAGGATTCTGGATTTGCTCACTTTTTCGGGCTAAGTGAGAGGAATGTTATGAGTAATGTCTGATAACAAAAATTGAAATAAATTCAAGCTCAAATTTACTATTATAACATAATTTCTTCTCTTGAGGATGGCATATAATTGGCAGGTATTTTGCGATGCATCATAATTTCTGGTAATAATATTATTTGTTAATTCTTTTCTGACAAATAGGGAGGAGGGAGTATAAGCAATGCTAACGTACGACATTGTAATAGGCTACGACAAGGAAAATACATACTTGAAGAATCTAGGTCATAAATTGTAATTTATTAGGGAAACGTTCAGTAAAAATAGTTTTAGTGGTATTTTTGACAAGTTGACTAACGAAAACAAATTGTGGGTCTGACAATTCCTTACGGTGAGCTATCTCATGGAGGCAAAATTCAAACTTTCTAAACATAAGAAAACGAAAAATTGCTTTTCCCAGAACTCTCTGGTTGGTAAAATAGCATATACTTGGGCAAACAATTTTCTACAAAGGGCAATCATCCGCTCTTAAAATTCAAACTTGTTTTGTCAAATTATGACATGAGATATAACATGAGATAATTACATGAGATATGTGCAGAGATAAAATTTTTCAAATAATATTTTTGTAGAAAAATGTAAATGTTAACTCAATGTTTAATATTTTTTTCTGTAACTTATAATTGATCTAGTAGAAGCATCCACGTTGAGAATCTATTTTTCCCTAAGATTGGTGGCAAGGTTCAAACTTTTTCCTACTTAATCAAGTCGCTATATTTTATGTATTTTTCTTTTTGCGCCATATCCTTTTTTTTTTTGTGGCTTCCTTCACGAAAACTTTTGGGCGAACTATTAGCTATAATTCGATAACGTTTTGAAGCACAATTCGAACTTGGAACTTAAATGACAAATTTAACCAAAAGTAAATTTTGTTGAAACTTTTTATGATTTTTTTGCTAAGCGAAATAGGGAAAAACTAGTCACAAATTGTTACCAGCCAGTGTCATTTTTTATGCTGGCCACTTTTTCAAAATTTGGAAATTTCAAACGATTAAAATAGCTATTCATATTATTTAAGTAAGGCATTACTCAAAATATAATTTACACTACACGGTTCATTTCTAAAATACAGAAAAAAATTTCTGTACCTTTTAAGTAATTTTATTTAAAATTTAAGCATAGTATAAGTAACGTTTTTATCTTATAAGCACAAGCGCTTAATCTTTTAAACCAGTAATGCTAGAGGAAATAAGTGTTAGTTTAGAATCGTGAAGTTTATTAGATACTGAACAAAACTGATATTGTTAGGGATAAATATAGCGCAATATATTTTATTAAATTATTTTTTTATCAACCATAAATTAAAACTTGATGTGTAATTAAGTTGATTTCTAGATGAGTCTTTGACAACGAAATTCTGTTCCCCTGAAATATTGATCTAGTGTAAAATAAAATTATTTAGAGTTTCATTATTCAAAAATGAAAAAAAATATTAAAAATGTTTAAAAAAATTAGTGAGAAATATAAAACTGAAAAAAATAGTTCTTTATTTGTAAAACAAAACTTAGAATCAGGAAATTTTAGAAAAAAACGTCGATAGAGCGAATCTATAAAAAACACTCAAAAATACCCAAGAATAAAATCGCCGTCATAAACAATTATAGTTTCTAGGACAAAAGTTACGTAAAACTTGTTTTGCAAAACTTTTTTCTCTTAGGGAAGCTAACGATTTCCTAAATTGAGTTAAGGGTTTGGTGATGAAATTCAAACTTGTGGTTTCGTACATTTTAAAAAACTTGTATTGGCCATAACTTTTAATGGTGGGAGTTAATGGAAGGAGTTTTAATGGAGGGAGTTGTTAAAGCAGCGTATGCTGTAAGAATTTTATGAAGTGAGCCTGTGATTTGGGGCAAAATTACCTTCTTGATTAAAACTTCGCAAAATCTTTTTTTACCCATATATTTTCTAGTTTTGATAACGAAAATTTTTGTAGAGCCAACAGATTCCTACAATTTTCGGCAAAATTTCACAGGTTTTTATGTAATAAATGAGCTAAAACTTGTTTCTATCATACTTTTTTTTATTGATAGGTGGGCTTACAAAACTCCTTGCTAGGATAGCGAGTTCCTACAACAAGCCAATGCTGTACCCTTGCTGCCGGGCTGACCGTAGGATGTTTTCGTGGTTTTCTACTTCATATAACTCAAATGTGGATAAATTCCATTAAAAAGTCCTTCCTGAAGGCTAGTTTGTCCCAATGCATGACCGCATATTGGAGCTGACATTGGCTACGGATTAAACGTTCAAGGAGGACTAGAAAATAAAATTAGCTGATGTTTAAAGGTAAAATATTGTCCTTTATTTGTCAAAAGTTAGCTAAAACTTATTTTGGCACTTATCGCGGGCTAACGTCTGAAGGTTAAATGCAAATTTGTTGTATTTGGGTCATAAATTGTAGAGGTAAGGAAGGGAATTTCTTTCCCACTGAGCCAATGTGATTTTCTTTGACAATTTTATTTTATAACCGTCGTTGAACCGCAGACCCAATTTTGGATTAACGACTTCAAATACGTAGCCTTGTAATTTTGAACCCCAACCAGAAGACACGAGATCAAGTATTTGGAGAAATTTACCTTTATGGAGACTTTTTTTTTTACAGAACTATCACTTATTCGCATTAAACTGAGAGGAACACCTTCCACGGTTAATCTGACGGCAAGGGGACTTTAACCCATGAATCCGTCTGCCATTGAGGATATTTTTCGCCAGGACTAGGGTCGATGCATGCCGGTCGCGGAATTCGAATCGACCAGTCATCGCAGGAATTGGAACCCGTTTCACCTCATTGGAGCGCTCTATGCTCTGAGCCATCAGGGCATTCAAACTATGCCCTACATATTGCCTTTAAATATACCAATTGTGCAATTTCCTTTTAGTTTTTTTTACTAGTAACATGTTAAAACACGATATGAATAACTGGAGCTGCGATTAATAATTAAGCATAAAACTATACTTTGTAAGAGTAAAAGTTGGTAATGTGTAAAAGCCAACATGAGAAACAAAAATACTTAATAGCTCAGATCCATCTTAGTAATTCGGATCTTAGGTTCAAAATAAATAATTGGTCATAATTTAATAGATTTTTCCAAAATCTTTTGTCTTCTCATCCAATGAATTATTTTTTCTCGACAAAGCCAACCAATCACTCATTTTCTTGAATCGCTGACATCAAAATCGTTACAATTGTTGCATTGATGCTAATTTTCTGAATTTCATTTTAATCATTTTAGCATATTTTATTGAAAAGAAAAAGGTTCTTTTATGAACCAACTAGATGTTAACATTAAATGTTTCTGTTTGTAACTATTTGATTTTTGGTTCAAAGTTCGAATTGTGTAATAATCACAATGTCGAAAGTTCGTAATTGTTGCTTACATTCCAGAGATGATATTTTCGAAACTGTTTCTCCTTTTACCCTAAAAAGCTGGCAAATACCAAGGAATGTATGAAAAAGGTGCTAAATGATTTTTAAACTTAGAATAGAAATTTTTGTTATCTATATTTGTTTATTGGAAAGAAGGAAAACGAAACTTTGTTTGTTTTTTTCTGTTCTGCACTGTACAGGTTTCAAGTTGGGCAACCAGATGACCAAAATTTTAAACTTAATATTAAGTGAATAAGACATCATTTCCAAGGTAAAATATTTAAGAATTAGAAATAATGACTTATGCCTTAATATCAACTTTCATTAAGTTAGACAATTAATTGAAGGGCAGCATCATTTGAAATTTTTAACTGTGGTAAGTGAATTTCTAACAAAGTACAGTTTTTTTTTTAAAAAAAATTCACACTAATACTGGAAAATGGAAGAAATAATAATTAAAGTGAACTGTAACAAAACAGGTTATTAACAGACACAAATGTGACATTTCACACTTTGATTTACAAAAACAAATTCTCATACACTTATGTTTCTTGGTATCGCACGTAAAATATCATAATTAATCATACGGTGCAACTAAGATTTAAAAAAATTAAATTATTTTTCTGTTTTTTTTTCCTGTTCAAAGCAAGATTTTGATAATAATAAGTATTTTTATTGTAAATTAATAATTGGTTTTGCATCAGACACCACAGCTTTTCTTTTTATTACATTTGTTTTAATTTATTTCCATCTCTTATTTTGCTTTTTTTATGAAATGAAATATGAATGGAAACCATTTAAATATTCCCTTAGGTTAATTTCCAATAATGTATTCCAAATAATGTATGTTCACTTCAATAACCTAATAAAATTTGTTTAACTATGCTGTGTTTTAAGTTAATAATATAAATAACTTAAAATAAAAAAATATGTATAAAAACTTCATCGATCAATTTTTAAGTTAATTTGCTTATTTATTCGATGCAAGCAACTCAGTTTTACTTTTTTGAGAAACAATTTAACTTTATCAATCATTTTACTTAGATCTTGAAAAATTTATGTATTTAGAGAAAAAAAAATTCAGAGCATTCTACAGTTATTTATTTTTTTTGAGTAAAGAAAAACAATTTTTTAAAAAAAAATTTGAACTTACTTGCATAGCAAACTTAAATAATATCTCGCATCCTATTCAGTTATTAGGTGATTGGAATAAATATTTTCAGTAGTTATTGGGACTGTAATTGGCAAATGAAACTGTAGAAGGGGTATTAAAAAGGGATAAAAATGAATTCTGGAATTCACATAAAATTTTATAGCCAGAAAAAATTTTTATAGACTAATAATACAGTAAAAGAATTTTTTCCCCTTTTAATGTACAGTGACATCTTTTTCAATAGATTTTTTTTATTGTATATAAAAATAATGCAACTTCTTGTCATTTTTTCCCCACTTCTGTATTAAAAAAAAGAAGAAAAATTCAGCGACAGATTTTTTATTCCAGAATTTTTTAAATTATTAAGTTTAAGGAAATATTGCTTAAATATGAGTTTTATTTACATTGTTGTTAATATACCTTGCGCAATTAAAATTAGTGATTTTTCAACTAACTTTTACAAGATGGAAAATGTATAATGCACATTGATTCTTCCATTCCAACAGGAAATAGAACACAATTTTAATTTTTTTTGGGTCACTGTATTTTGTACAAAAACTACAAAACTAACAATTTAAAACATTTTTATTCGCTAAAAGTAATATATTCTACAAGCTAAACATATTATATTCTTCACATCTATTCAAGATGATATATGAAAAAAAATAACATTTTAAGTAAAATACTCTATAATATTGACACCTTTCTTGTACCCACCTGCACTTTATGAGAAAAAAAAACACGCTGACCTGGAAGTTTTAAGATTCTTACTGGAAAACCTGGAAAAATCGGGGAAATTTGAAACCTGATTTGAGTGGCCACCCTGGTTTTAGCACATTATCAAAAAGTTCAAGTTTTGTTTTTACTTATTTCAAAATAATTTAACAAAAAAAATTATTTTTAAAAAAAATATATTTCGATGAATTTTATTCTGTGCACTATATGCCATAAACTGAATTGGTATTTTTAAAACATATTATCTTTTTAAAAACACAGTTCCGTCCTATTTTGTTAATAGCGTATGTTTTTTTTCCTTAACAGATTGATGCTATGAAAAAAACAGAAAGAGGAACGAGAAATGGAATTAGAGGTTTGTTGTTAAAAATTTAAATTGATTTTGTCAAATATTTAGTCTTTTAATTTGTTAAGATTAATTGAAAGATTTTATTTCAGTATATTGATACTAAATTCAGAGTACGCTATTGTTTGAACAATTAAATTTGTGCTAATTTAGATACAAGAAAAGGAACTGAATGAAAAGCGGATGGAATTGAATGAGTTAAAGAAAGAAGAGTCTGAGATGGAAAGCAAACTCAATTCAAGCAAAACTCAACTTGATGCATTGACTTCTTCTTTACAAAGTAGCACCCTTCAGATAAGTCAAGTAAATAATTTTATAATACTTAATATTGTTTATTAAATTTTAGCTTATTTTTAAAAACACTTGTAATAATAAAAGACAAATAATTCACTTTAATGTGATAACAATAGTAAATTAAAAACAATGCATGAAAACACAAATGCATCATTCTCGCTCAATCTAATATTTTCTCCGTTTCATTTTGCTTATTTGGTTCGAAGAATGAGTTTGAGGCACTGAAATTTATCCACTGTCAAAAACGCAATAAAACCTTTATACTTGTCTCTACTTATTTGTTATTTTTTATTTTTTAAATAAATTTAAAGCTAATTTTATTATTTGCTTTTTATGGAGAAGAAAAAGATGTAAACACAGCCTTATTTTATCCTTTTTCTATTTACTTTTTTTTCAAAATAAATTTCAAGCTTATGTAAGCAATTTAATTTTTTGTATATTTGATAAACTGATAATTCACGAAAATTGTACTTATTATATATTCCTACGCTATGATTTTCAATTATATCCTCTACTGCATTATTATGTTGTTGAAAATTGAGCTTTGAACTACTTGTTGAAAAAACTTGGCAGCTTAAAATATTTACAACTTAATTCGTCTTAGTATATTTTTTGTTGAAAACAATTAAAGTTGCCTTGTTTGTGTATTTTTGTCCAAATTAAAATTAGAAATGATCAAACACAAGACCAAATACAATACAGCACAGGCCAATGAGCGAAACTATCAAGGATATGGATAAGCAATTTAATTTTTTGTCTGTCTGTTAAAGTGATAATTCTCTAAAATTGTAATTATTATACTCCTTGCCTACACTTTTCAATTATATCCTTTTCCTGCACTTGTAAGTTTTTGAAAAACAACTTCTTAATGATAAACTTGATATCTTAAAATACTTCATTTGAATGTAGATTGTTTTGTTGAAGACAATTACTTAACTTTCCTTGTTTCTTTACTTTTCTTCTAGATTAAAATTAAAATTGACCAAATACAAGAGCAACATAGGTTAAAAGAGTGAAGCTATCAAGGATATAGATAATGTGCTTTCTTTTGTTGATTTCCAAAATATATCAAACTTTACTATGTATGGCTTTTCTACACCTAATGATGACAGAGCCTATATTTCACCAACATGTAAGTATGCATTTAGTTTTGATTAGATTATTTATCACTTAGAAAAATGCATTGTGTTTATCTTTCGTTCAGACCATAAAGGTCCATGTAAGTTTTAATTATTATAATTTGTTTAAATTTGTTGTTAATTATAATAATATAAAAAAGAAATTCTAATTTCAAATAATAAATACAGTGCTTACATTTCTGTTCTAATTTTAAACTGTATAATTTTTATAAATAATTATCAAACATCTAAGTGATAAAGGCAATCCCTTTATTTTACAAGATGGCAAATTTCTGGTATGTTGGGAGTATAAGTCGTTTACAGAAACCTAAGATAAAAGCTTTTAAAATTTAAAAACATTAAAAGAAAAGAGACAAGTCTCCATAATTTTCCATTCAAACCATTACACTGTTAACTTATTGATTCCAACACATATGATGTCCTTGAATCTTAAGATTTTTAGCTTTATGGTACATTTAAAAATGTTTTTACATCATGTTTTATTTTTTGAAATACTCTTGAAAAAGATATTTTGATTTTTTATATTTTTCATGTTTTTTTCTGGTTATAAGTATTGTTTTTTAAAAGAAAGCCTTAATATGCAAAATGTTATGAAAGAAAAAGAAAATTAATTGTATATAACATATTAAAATAGTTTTTGAAAGGGGTAAATCCATACACAGTTATTCATATCTATCACATCGATTATAAATGCATCAATATTTCTCGCTCAATTAATGTCCATCTTCACTACTTGTTTATAAGTGAATTTTAGCGGTTCAAAAATATGATATATGGGTGATTCTCACGAAACCTGACAATTCGGACCAAAAAATTTCTTCAAATTTAAAGACTTCAAAGTAATCTAAAATTTTTTTCGTATACTTCTTTAGCTACACTTATTAATATCTTATAGACATCAGTGTAGTTTATTGACATTTGCTTGAGAAAAAAAATAAAATAGAAATTCACCAAATCTTGAATACCAGGAAAATGACATAATACCTTAGAAGTTTAAAAAACAGTCATTTTAAGTTAATAGTAAGTAACTCAACTTAAGCCTTTATGTTAGATGGACCATAAATTGCTTAAATTAATTCTTTTTATCCACTGTAGAAAGAAACAAAAAATTTTTTGTTGCTGATATGTACAGAATAAAATTGTGTATAATAATCAATCATTAAATAAATAAATAACTTTGATTACATCCAAGCATATTACAATCATACATAAACTTGGTATTAGGTTAATATTTGCTTTCCCTCTTTACAGTATTAGCAGTTAAAAAGAATTTCTGGTAACACTTCAATGTCCTGGCATTCATAAGCCAGGAAAATGACAGCCAGGATAATGACAAATTCGCCATTTTATAGCATATAACTTTACTTTAATTTAATATTTTGGCCGAAGACGTTTATATTCTGCAGAAAACAACAGTATTTCTTAAAATAACTCAGATAAATCTATGTAGTTTTTGTTATTAATGATTTCAAGAAGCCAGGAAAATGACAGCATAAAAACCTACTCACCTTGAAAAATTTTTTGAAATAGATTTTGAGCCAGAAAATTGGTTCTTTATTCATGCAACAAGACATGTTCAGATAGGAGGGTATCTAATCAATCTATTAACATAAGATATTGATTCCTGGCGCTATCTATTTTGGTTATAAATCACTAAATAAAAGTAGCCAGGAAAATGACAGATTTTCATGGGACAAACAAATTATTGACAGAAAAAATTATTTTAAACGAAGTTTTAGTAAACAATACCCTCTGCGTATATTCTAGAAATGCTTACATAGGATAAGATAAAAAAAAATTAGATTTTGAAAAATGTATGGGAAGTTTTGAAGCTAGTTATTATTGGAAATATTGTTTGGGACTTGCCAGGAAAATGACATTTTGATATTCAATTTAATTTTTTAAGTATACAAAACAGTCAATGCTAGTGCAAAGTCATTTTAAAATGCTAACAGCAATGATATTTATTAATATTTTTTTTTAAAAAAAGTTCTTTTAGTATTATAGTATTAGATCTTGGAGCAAGGGACAGTGAATTGCCATGTTTCGTGAGAATCACCCATATACATTTTGATATATGGTATTTTAATTATTCTACTCTTGTGTGTTTCTTTAAAAGACAACGCCTTAGAGCGTCCCTTTTTTTAATAAGTACTGGTCTCATGACTTTGACCTAGTCATATTTAGTTATTTTTGATGATTGTTACATTTGTGTTTGGTGCAGTATGACCAATTCTGATTCTTCTGCCATTAAGCTTTACATATATTGTAATCCATAAAAAAAAAGTTCGTATTATCACCTATATGGGCTTTTATTTTGCTTCAACAATTTTCTTTTAAATTTTTACTTTCTCCTTTACTGAATGCATTGTATCATATTTCATACATTCAATGGTTTGTGTTACTTCCATAATTAAAAGGGAAAATTTTCTTGCTGAGCATGATTAAAAATATACACTAAGTGCAAGGGCAGAAATTCTTTTATGCGTCTGGGCTTTTCAGCTTTATTCGAAGTTCAATCTTTTTTTTTTTTTCATATTCAAAAGGTAGTTTTCGAGTGCTTACTGTAATCAACTTTAAGAAAATAGTGAATGAACTTTGAAGTATTCGATATAATCACTTTACTATTCCACAAATGTGCAAAAAGTGCCTGACTGCATCAGTGATTTATAAAAAATGTGTTTTGTTTCAAAAAGTTAGTTTTCAGTTTATACATCATTTAATCCCTCTTTTAGAAACAAAAATGGTTTATATTTCTCAGAAAATATTTGTTTATACAATGATATTTATTAAATTTTTATTATTGTTGTTTTTTGCTATTGAATTGGCAGATGTTAAATTAGTTAGATTATACAAGTCTGAATTTATTATTTTTATTTTTTTTTTCTTCATAAATTACGTTAAATCGAATTTATACTTTCCAAATTATCGAATTTATGCAACTTCGTGATAACTCAATTTGTTGGAAATTTGGATACTGAGATTTAGTTTCTGCACACTACGAATATCAAAATCTATATGGTTAGTCTGAAAGTATTCGCAATTATTTTTATAGTAGTACTTTGATTCAATTTTAGACTATATAAAACTGCATTTGTGATTTAATTAGTTAAATAATTTTTTAAAATACATGAAATATTTTTAAGGTCCCAAAACCCTTTGATGAAGTTGGACCAGCTGTAACTACACCTCTCAATGATTTTCAGGTAATCATAGTTTCCCATTTATTTCTTTGAAGAGAAATTTTTAAATCTTTCTTATTATTCACAAAATATGCACCACGTTTGTGTTCCAAACATGTGGCCTCATGTTCTCTATGAGGCATTAAAAGAATTATATCAATTCAAGCATACTTATAGCACTAATTATTACTCAACATGTAAATATGTGGAAATCAAATTGGAAAATAATTTTGAAATACAGTCGGACCTCCATTTAACGAAGGCGCTAAATCCCAATAATGAATTCGTTATATGGAAATTCATTAAATAGAAAAATCACCTTTTGAAATATTATTTGCAGGTTTTATATTCATAAACACCAGACATAATTAAAATAGCAATTGATACACCTTTATCTTTCATAGTAGTATTTGCTATTTATTCTATAAATCTCAACCATAAAAGAAATCTGCATGGAAAGCAATCATAGAGCAAAACATTATCCAGTATCATGTTACATATATTTTCAACTAAAAAAAGCTACATTTATGCACAAAACTATATCTGCATTTACTATAATAGTAATTTTAAACATGCGTTCTTAAGTTTAACAGATTTTATCCGTTAATTTTGTTTTCGCTTGAAATGCAAACAAAAAGGGATTTTACTCTATAAAAGTTACGTGGCTTCGAAAATCAATCGAAGGTCATTTCCCTTATAAAATGCGTTGAACAAGTTTGAAATGTTCTGAAATATTTTGGGAAATAGCTGTTCATAGCTATTAATATTAAAAATTCTACTGCTGACATTTTTATTATGGCTTGGAGACACTATAATTTTAATATATATATTTTTAAAGGCTTTTATTACGTCTTTTTATTTTATATGAAAATTTTATTTTGTCTTATTGGAGAATTTTATTTTAACTTTTTACTAAATTTTTATTGAACCTTTGAATCCTGCATTTATCTTAAAATTGCTGGTATCTAAACCACTCATTGATAATGGCAATTTTTATTTGATTCGCTTTTTTAAGAGTTATAAAGTTTTAGTTATAAATTATTTCCTTCTTTGAGTTAAAAATCTTGCTCTTTGCTTTTAACTCTAATGATTTTGTTACACTCTTCAAATGACATTTTGTACTATAAATAGTTTTTGCATAATTAAGGTTTAAATTATTATTATGTGAAGTTTATTTTTTATTTAATTTAATAAAACTGCATTTATGTATGTTTCAGCTTTATAGTTTGTTTCACTTAAAAAAATTTTAATGATAATAAAATTTTGATTGATAATTAATGCTATTCAGGAATATATAGTGTCTAGAATTTTCTCTTATTTTATAGATCCTTTTGTTGGTACTAATGTTGCAGCAGCAGCTAGTGATCCTTTCAGTGGAGACCCTTTCGTAAGTGCTTTTAATGTAACTGCATCACAATAAGAAAAAAGTGAGAGTATGGATTTGAATATTTTAAACAATTTCTTTTATTTTGATTATTTCAAATTTTTAACAGTTATTAATAATTGGTTGTTATGCAATACACATATACATTACTATTTCCATTTCCATTCTAACTGCCAATGATTTTCTGTAAATTCTGCGGGTCTTAACTTTTGTTTCTGATTGCTGAAACTTTGACAAACACAATATTAATTAGTAAAATAATAATCATTTGACTAAAATTAATATTATCAAAGTTTTTTTTATCCTTATCGTTTTTCAAAAACATGACAACTTATATAAAGCGAATTAAATGTTTTATTTTGATAATATTGCATATATTAGAAACTTTGAATACAATTGATCAAATATGCAGTTCGTTCAGAATTTACAAATTATTAAATACTATAAATAATGTTTCCTAGGGAGGTAAATTATGGAAAAACAGCTATTTGACTCTGCAAATGCGTAACTTTAGATATTATTCTTGAATTTCTTTATATTTTATATGTTTTTTATTGTCAAAACTCTATAAAAATAGAATTGAATCAAAATTTATAGTTTAAGGTTTTTGAATTTATTTTTCCTTTTCGTAAATTGGTTTAAAAAATACATTTCTTATTAGTTTTAATTTAGTTTACTGTATTCTACATTTTTAAGCATAATTAATTCTAAAAAAATTTCAATACATATAAATTCCATTTCACATATTTCTTTTGCTTAAAACTTATGATTCTTATAATATTCGAGCAAAAAGTTCCGTTATATACTGGTTTTAAAAATTAAGAGGAAATTTTAGATGTAATGGATTATATCCAGAACTACTGTATAGATTTTAGTGAAATTTACTATCAACATAATTAATGTAATGCAAATTTAATGACCTTTCAACAAATATAATGCCTTTTACATGATCATGTGTATCACTCATGTGAGTTCAAAGGATGAAATAGTGGATAAAAAAATGTAATAAAAAATAGGTTAATATGGTCCTGCATATGGAATAAGCCTAGAATTTATTTTGCTCCAAAGCATCTATCTAGAATGAGATAATCTAGATATGAGAAAATTAAATTTCATCTATCTAGATATGAAGAAATTTACCTTTCATGCAATAGTTTTTTAAATGGAGGGCCTAGGGAATTGGACAGAGCCACAGTTATTTAAAGAAAAGTGTAAACGTTTTGAAGCAGTAAAAAATGTTAAGAGGAATCTGTCAAAACCTCCAGTGGGTTAATGTATTGGGTAGTTTTCAAGTTCTTGGGGCAGTTGGTCATGATCATCTAGCAATATTGATTTCAGTCTCTTGAGTTTTTTTTTTTTTGGGAGAGATATCGCACGCTTAAATTGCTCTCTAGAGTGTACCAAGCATGCTTTATAGAGATCATGTCCAGAAACCTGATTATCAAATCTACTCGACCAAAATCTGCACTTTTTCAGAAAATTGTCTACCAGGTGAGCTCTATGTTGTCATGTGCTACCTTAAAATGAAACAGGGATAACCTCATCTCTGAAAAGGCAAACAAAGAGTATCAAGGGCTCTTTTTTATACCTAGTCAAAGTGCTAGTTTGTAAAAGATAAAGGGGGTCTGCAGCTATTCAGCATACTGCTTACTCGGACCACGAACACTAAACGTCCATAATTGTAAATTTCTTAATCATTACACTGGTAACATTAGAGAATAGATAGTGGCGCTTTTGTTCAAAAGTGAAACTCTTTCATATGAAGAGAATCAGTGGTTTGCCAAAACTTCTCATGTATCTGAGAAAACAACCATTATGTTTGCCCTGTGTTTGCCTTTTGGTGGATACAGTTGACCCAAATTTGATTTAGATCCAGTTTTGATTTTAAACAGTCAACCTCAAAGAAGTCAGATAGACTGCGATTTTCTAAAAAATGAAAATATAGACTTAATAGATTATCCAGCAAAAACTTAAGATCTCGACTTTATGAAATATGTGTGAAATGCTCTGGGAAGAGCAATTAAAACTTGCAGGCACCCTCAGACAACCATCTGGACCCTGAAAATAGTGTTGAATAATTGAGACCGATTTCTACTTAGCTGATTTATTTCCACCGTTTTTGTTTGAGAATGTATTGTATGTCTGTATTGTATATATGTATTGTCTGTATGTATATATGTATTGTATCAACTCAAGTGCATTCAAAGCATTATTATTTTCTTTATAGAGTGATCCATTCTCTGGAAGTGATTTGACACTGCTTCTACCCCCTGGTAAGTAGTTGTATCAAAATTTATTGCATTTTGACAGATCTGAAACCACTTATTTATTTTTTGCTCTTCATTTTTGAAAACTCTAGCTTTCCAAGTTCTAACTCTAGGTAAAATTGAGTAAGCTTTTCCCTGCTACAAACTTGTTAAAATAACAATGAGATAAGTTAGTTTTTGTTGCATGGGTCGGAATAGCCTGGTTGGTAGGTTGCTGGGCTCATATTCGTGAGTTCGAATCCTGCTGGCCAAAGAATCCCCGTGTATTAAATTGTGACTCGGACACTTTAAATTTGTTGGGATCACAAAGTCCTTCAAGTTCCCATAATAAATCAATACTTCTGAGAGTACTGAATTGGACATTGATCTTCCTCTGGTTAAGGTCAAAATTATGATGCGTGGAGGAATGAATGGAGTGTGACTGGTTCCTCCCGGTAAAACGGGCTGTGACGTGTGTATGGCTGCTCTTGGGCATAGATGGTGCCACTGAAAAAAACAAGAAATGCCCTCTCTGCCTTAAAATAGCTTGGATTCTCATAGCAGGATTGCCGTCATTGGCAAGTGACATTTGTTACAACATCAGTTTTTGTTGCAACAATGCAACCTGTTCAACCTTTTAACCGATTTGCAAAGTTATGCAAATATTTCCCTTCCAAGCTGAAAAATTGATGTTAGCTAAAGGTTTAAGCTTAAAAAGACCCAGAGCAACTACTTAGCTGGTTAAAAATTATTTTATTCTAATTATTTTAATAAATGTATTAATACTTATTTCTTGTTTTTCGAAATAGATCGTTTTGATCCGTTTGGTTTATCTCAAGCAAATTCTAATCAAGCTCCTTCTATGGTATGTCTTTTCGGTTTTAATTTGTTTATGGCTGATTTTCAATTGTTCAATGATTTAATTGCACTGAATTTTCTGAAAATTTTCTTAATAGATGAGAGATAAATATTCAGATTATTAATGGGTAAAACTGTCTGCATTTATAAATTTTGTTTGTTGTTTAATGTTTGGAACTTTATCTATTTTTAAAAAATTAACTTTATAAAAGCAGGCTATCCACCCACCTTGAAAACTTGGAATTATCAGGGATTTTTTTTATACTGGAAAAAACCTGGATAAATCAGGGAATTTTTAAGAAAAGTTAGAATTTTTTTCTTAATTTAAATTATTTTACCATTCGTTATATCCACTTTATTCAAATGGAAATTTATCGTCAAACAGCTTAAATTTCATCAACTTTGCAATACTTCATTAAAATTCTCTCCATTACTACCCAGCTAAACTAGAATGCCATATAAAACTCTCCCATGTTGCTAAATGAATGGAGAAATCTTTGACCTCTTTGGAGATGGGACTAAGCAGTTAAGGAAA